AGACGTCAAATAAAATTAATAATCTGAGATGCATTTGTCAGGTTATATGGCATTGTTTCTATTTCTTGATTGGATTAGTATAACAAGCAATACGTTCTCAGCCAGACCTCTCCCCAGTGGATTTTGCCACCACTGGTGCAGGTGAGAGGTTGTTTAAAGGGCACCCAGAAGTGTTATATTCACAGACAGCTCTTCCTGTTTTCCTGGATATATCTGATTAGTGGCTCTGCCAAGGTAAAGCAGCAGACAACCACCGTGGATGTGTTACAGGGAATTCACACCCTTGCAGCAAAAACACCTCCCTGAACAGCTAATCAAATTCACACCAACTCTACATTCCTTGCACTACTAACACAAAAGCACACGACAAAAGCAAACAACGTGTCAAACAAAACCAGCCAAATTTTCTCAATTTCAAAACACTGATGTTTTTTGTTGAACTTTTGACAGAAGAAAAAGCAGGGGGCATTTGTCACAAAAATAAATCAGTCCGGCTTTTTTGAACAAGTACAGGACAGGAAACAATTTTCCACATTTTGATGAAAAATTGATCAAAGTTTCAACCCACAACAAAGACATTTTCATTCCCATTTTCTGTTTGCAAAAAAGTGTTCCCTTTATTTAAAAACCAGATCAAGTCACAAATAATGGTTCAGTATCTTTCCCGTTATTCAGAATTATAGGTTGTGGTCCCAGTCCTGAATATACTTAAACATATGCTTAACTTTACTGCCATAAATAGACCCATTGAAATCAATGCAACTATTCACATGCTTAAAGATTAATGCAGGATCTGCACCTATATCTAGGGTTACCAGACAGCAACTGTGAAAAAACAGGACAGGGGTGGGGGGTAATAGGCGCCTATATAAGAAAAAGTCCCAAAAAACGGGACTGTCCCATTAAAAATGGGACATCTGGTCACCCTACCCCTATATGAGTTTCAGCAACTACAGTCCTATAAATATTTATGCATATGCTCAACGTGAAGCACATAAGCAGTAGCACTGAAGTAAATTAAGCCCATGCATATTTACAGGATCAAAGCCTGTTTTTCAAAGATCACAATGTATTCTTTACCCTGAAACTGCTACCAAACTTTAGTTTTAGGGGGGGAAGTACGACTCTTTCATTGACAAAGCCAACACCAAAGCAATAACTTTACAGGTAATACACTCAGCACTTTTCCCTTTTTGCAACCACATGGTTTATTTTGCAAATGTGGGCTGACGCTTTTTCCTAAATGACATAGTGTTGCCCACTCCTACAGTATCTGGTCCTTTTTTAAAAGAGTCCCAGCTCCTGACATGATTAGAGAAGAATCTTAGCTTTCCATATTTTTTTTTTAAAAAGGCTAGAAACTCCCTACATGATTTCACAGAAGAATTTGCAAAGGTGACCTGAGTGCCCCCTTAAAGGCTCAACACAAGGCAAAGAAAAAGAAGCCCAATTTTTCTCAAAGCTGCTGATTTTTCAGTGAATCTCATGCTTTTGGCATTCTGATTCATGACCGTTTGAATGCCTGGAGTTAGCACCACTGTAATCGCTCATTTTCACAGAGCCACCAGTTCTGACGATTCCTCCTGTAATTGAGAGCTGACTTTTATTACTACTCATCCTCGTAATGAACCTTTAATTAACTGAATGGCGTGTACCTGCAACTGTAGAGCAGACCCAGCTCCCTGTGGAATGGTTGTAGGGAGTTCAAGCCACAGAGTGCTTCCTGCTCTTCTTCCCCGATCATCTATCCATGCCTACAGGCATCCCAGATTTAAAGAGACCAGAGACAGCAATGCAACGACGGGAGTTTTTTCCCAGTGTTGTGTAGAATACTGAAAAACCCAGGTTGCATTGAGAGCGGCAGGGTGTGCCAACGTGCAAATGCAGACACAACTATTGCTGATACCCAGGCCTTTACTATTTGTCGAATCAATGAATCAAGGAGACAGCAAAGGCATTGAAGGCATTGATTCAAACCAGGCCCCGAACTTCCCAGCTGCTCCCCACAGAAGCCCACTGACTTCAACAGAGCTTTGCATAGGTGCAGGAATCCACCCACTTACAGGATCAGGGTCCAAGACATCACACTGTAAACTTACCCATAGGCAGAAGGTCCAAGCTGAGAGTTTGCAATGCACTCGCTCTTCGAAGCCACTTCCCCTCTGCACTGGCTGTATTAGTGCTCACACACAACACCTGTGCATCATATTCAGTGGCCAGCTCGTGCTCACAGCCCACCTGATAGCTATTGGGGAAATACACAGGCCACCCTATCACTTCCACCCTGTGTGCTGCACGCCAATCCTATGTAGCAATACAAAGCGTGTCCCTTTCTTTTGGTGATTTATTGAACACTTTTAAAGAAGAGGAGAAAGGGATTTTAAGATTTCAGCTCATTATAGGAAGGACAAAGAAGACCCAGCTGAAAGCTGGAGGAAAGGCAAAGGAACACGTCCAATTTGCACACCGAGGAACCACACTGCACCTGGAAATGCAGTTAAACTAGTTAAGTGCATCATGAAGAATCACACGGTAAGAGAGAACTGTTGTCCCCTATCAGGGAACAAGGAACCTTGAAAACAAAGCAACTTTGAAGCTGATACCTAAAGCAGCGCTTAGTGCTGTCTGCTGCGTCACTGCAGAGCTTCTGCCTACAACCTCGGCCTGCTGGGCTTCCTGCTACGGATTTAAAGCCACAGTAATGACAACTGAAATTCAGCTCTGTACAGAGGAGCCGGCACAGGGCCCATGCAACACTGGCAGCTTGCCTGAGCCCTGTTGTGAGGCCTGCAGTTTGATTCGCATGGGGCAGAGGTTTGTACGCCCTCTCTGCACAGGGGGTATGAAAGGCACCCCGAAGTGCCTCAGGTTTGGCAACTGCCATGCAGGGAGGTGGAGGGATGCAACCGTGCGGTTGGCGTGAGGCTGGTCCCACAGCTCCAGCCAACGTCAGCCAGATAGCAGGTGCTCAGCCTTGCGGGATGAGGCCAGGAGTGAAAAATACAGGATGCCCATCCAGCCACGTGTAGGCGCTTCCGACAGGGACCTGGGCAGCTGCGCCTAGCGAGGCAGCGTGGGGGTATGATGAGCTGAGCTAGGCACGGCATGGGGTGGGGAAAGGGGCAGGCGAATGCCCCCATCTCTTGGTTAAGGTCATTCTTTCTCTTCTTCATTGCCGTGCATTGATCTGGAAGGTATTTTTGAGAAGCAGGCCATATTCCTAGCCCATGGGTTGTGGGGACACCCCCTGTGAGTTATTCCTAGGGACTCCCATCCCCGCCAATCTATCCTCCCCCCATGTATCCCATCAATCTGCTTTGCCTAAGATTATGGCCAGAACACCAGTCAATGCACAGAGCATCAAACCCTCCCCTGCCATCCAGGGTATGCCAATTGTAGCCTCGCCTGGAGTTTCAGAGGTCCTGAAAGCCTGCTCAGCCCAGCCTGGAGCCTTTCCTAGCTGATAATCAGCCTGATGGATGGGCAGCTAATGCCCTACTGCGTGAGTGATCCCTTGTGCGTGATCTGTCTGTGCCTGTTGGCGATATGTCTCCTTGCAACAAGCAGCATTTGCATTTCCCTTCCAACCAGTCAGTTCTTTTCCTCTCCTTCCAGGAGCCCTGGGGTTTCCCTGCAAACAGAGAGAGGAAGAGGCTGTATGGTAGCCCGGTCAAGTAAACAAACCTGGGTCCCATTCCGGCAGCGTTCGGATTTGGCTGCGCCCTTGGCAGTGAGATGGGGAGCTGACCAGGGGCTTAGCACAGCTCCTCCTGCCTCTGCTGGGATGGGGACGCAAGCTGAGCCTTCACCGCAAGCCACACAAATAAAGCCTGCGGCCCTGCACTTCTGGAGTACCCAACAGACTCCGGGGCTTGCCCCTTCTCCCCTTCCCGCAATGGGACTAGCGTCAACTCTGCCAAAGTCAACCACCCTTCTAGAAGTGGCAGTGAGGCTGGTGAGGGAGATGGAGGCCCCTGACCCCCCTGCTCTGGCAGCGTGAGCCATGCTTGCCTGGAGCCTTGTAAGGAAGGTCCAAGAGGGAAGTCCCCATCGGTCTCACCTAGTAGAACAGCTGCCGACCAACCAAGGGGCTGGTGCTGAGACATGCCGCACACCCACAACACCCATTGGTTTCAACAGGCAGGGGAAGTGTCCAGCCCCTCTCGTGACCTAAGGAGGTGCCGGTACGAGAGTCAGCATCAGTGATGGGCAGTAGATCCTGGACAAGCCCACTCATTCCGGCGACCAGGTGGCTGACTGTGCCGAGTTGCCCCATTTTCCTCCATCTGGCTCTTACCTCTTGCAGCCACAAGAGTCAACACTTGTTTCCAATAAGGTCTTTGTTTAGGAGACTGATGTGCTGTAATTCCAGTTAAAGAGGAGACGGAAAGGTTAACGGTCAGTATGTCAGTGCACTGCCTTGCTCCCTATGGAGACATCACTGGGCAAGAAGATCTTCCGTAAAGGGGCCAGGGCTGAAATTGCACCAAGAGGGTGGGAAGATGATCTGCCCTGATTAGACACTGGCTCAGGGCAAGGTCACGGTAAGAGAGCTTTCAATCCCAGCCATTGTCGCTCAATGCTTCCTACTTCCTTCCAGTACCGGCTAGTGGCGCAATGGGTCGTGTCCCCCTTTAGTGGCTGGTCCACATGAGGGGTAAGAGCCTACTATTGCTATCTGCTACTGGAGTTACGGCTTTGGCTCAAGGCTTTGGTACTCAAGGTCTGAGGCTCAAACCCTGCTGATGACGAGGCAGGGGGTTGTAAGACAGGTAATATTAGCAGAGTTGAAGTGCTAGCCAGGCCAGGGTTCTTCAGGTTCCAAGAACAGTGACGTGTTCGCATCAGCCTAAGCCATGAAATGTTCTGTCTCCAGCAGCTGGGCCAGGTTTCTGGAGCTAGAGCCGTCCGGGGAGATTTTGGAACTGAAGTGTTAGATCCCCGTGAGCTCCTTGGGCAGGGAGCCCAGCCGCATTTCCACCGTTTGCTTTGTGTTCCAGATTCCGACAGCCTTTCCAGCCCAACCCGCCTAAGCCTCAGCCTGTCTGAAGGGGAGGAACAGATGGACCGGCTGCAGCAGGTGGAGCTGGTCCGCACCACGCCCATGTCCCACTGGAAGGCGGGCACTGTGCAGGCGTGGCTGGAGGTGGTCATGGCTATGCCCATGTATGTCAAAGCCTGTGCGGAGAACGTCAAGAGCGGGAAGGTAGGAGAGCAAGCTACGTCTCTGCACTGGGGTGTCTGCGCCATTGGTAGCAATCTGCTGTCAGTGCCAAAGCACGGGATCCCAAACAACCCTCTGAGTGGCGAGGGGCTTCCAAAGCCAGAACTGGGGCCACGTGTCCCAGCTCTACCCCATCCTCACTCGCAGCCAAGTTGTTTGGTGGGAAAAAAGGATTAGTTAGGCCAAGGGTTCCATGGTTAATGCAGGGGATTGTTATGTCTCTCTATGCCCTCCAGTTGGCTAGCACGACCCGACCTGCTCTGTCATCCCCCACCACACGCAGGCTGGGCACTGCTGGGGTGAAAGCCTTCTCCCCTGCAGCTTCTGCCATTTGTAACAGTTTTCTACCTCGTTGCAAAGCTCAGCTTCTCCTCTTTGCCCTCACCCACTGTTGTTAGTTAATCTCTATTGATGTTAGTTTTCATTGGTAGGCTTTTCTATGATACACTTCCCTATAGGATGAATCATTTAATTCATCCTCACAGTACCTCTGCGAGGGTGGGAAAAAATCATTATCCCCATTTCACAGATGGAGAAACCGAGGCACAAAGACTAAGTGCTGTGCACGAGATAACAGAGGAAATTTGTGGCAGAGCCGACAATAGAACCCAAATTGCCTGGGCCCCACTCTAACACCTTAACCACGTCTTCTCTATAGTTTTGCTAGTTAACGCTGTAAAGCATTTTGGGATCTAGTTTATAAGAACCCATACTGCATTGCTGTTCTGTAAGTGACCAAAGTCAATGGCTGAGTTGTGTTGTTGGGTTTTTTTCTTGGAGAGCAGATGTTGCTCAGTTTGAGTGATGAAGATCTGGCGACAGGGCTGGGCGTCTGTAGCTCCCTTCACCGCCGCAAACTCAGGCTGGCAATAGAGGATTACAGGGACGCAGAAACAGGCAAATGGTAAGCTCTTCCTGTGGGCCTCAGAATCCCACTTCCTGCATTCATTGCGTGTGTATGCATGCTTGTGTGTGCACACACGTGTCCATGTGTGTGTATGTACATGCCCGTATGTATGTGTACATGAGTATTAATACATACATGTAGTAGTACATACATGTGTATTAATGTGTGCCTGTGTGTGTGTGCGTATTTACATGTTATCCTCAGAAGGCAGCCAAATTATCTGGAGAGGGTGAGAAAAAAGAAAGAACAAGAGAGAGGAAAAAAACAAATGTCAGGGAACGATTCTTACTGCTGTGCTCAGTGTGAGAGAAAACTCACTTTAACAAAACTGACACTTCTGTTTTGCATAATTACTTCCTTCAGTGACGTCCCCATCATTTTTGCTCGGCTAATTAATCAACGCTAGCGTGTGGTGCTGCTCCTCACAGAGCCGGCCTGGGTGATTAAAAAAAGAAAGAAATCAAACTGTCTCCTGCATTTAAAGCCACAAAACCAACAACCACATCAACGCCCCGGTGAGCTTTGGGAGTGAGCCTGGCTAGCAATTCAGCAAATGACCCCAGCGGAAGCAAAACCCCAATAGCCGTCAGTCTTGTACTCGGTAGTATTCAGTGTTATGGAGATAGCTCCTCTGTTCCCTAGGGTAGGATTTCAAACAAATGAAGCAGCCACATGCCTAGAAGACTCCATTCCCAGGTTTTACATAAGGCCCACCAAGATAGGACAGGTTACACACTTGAGAGCTATAGGCAGGTTGGATGGATTGAGTGAAGCTGCTATTCTATCTTCACCTTCATACTAGATCTTAAAGCATTAAAACCAGGTTCTGCATCGTCCGGGACTTAGTCAGGACTATTCTATCCTAGAACTTTGTAATGGTTGTTGGCTGCATTGTATTATTCAGCTTCTCAGACGGGGGTTGAATTGCGAACAACATGCGCCTACAGTTTTCCATTCCTAGCAGAGATTCATTATTTGCCAGGAGTGGAGGGAAGCACAGGGTCGGATCCATACTCAGGGCAGGCACAGGGAAGGCCCCAGACTCAGGGGCAGGACCCATCCCCTCTCTGCCAATGCAGAGGACCCCGGAGAGGGCGAAACTGGTGCTGTTCTGCTGCTCAAGGGCGGATGAGATTTGGGAAGGCTGCAGCTGCCCGGGACCTTTGCACCTTGCACGGCCCAGAGCTGAGCCTCTAGGAGTGGGACGGGGGAAGCAGTTGTGGGTCAGGGGATCTCTACGACATAGATCTACTGGCTATTGTACCTGTGCAGATCACTGGGGCTGGAGCCCCAGAAGCGTCTAGCCTCAGATGTGCAGCTGCTCCTCTCCCTGGGGACAAGCGCACCACTCTCTGAGCTGGGTGCTGCTTTGCAGACTCCGTCTCTATAGAACTGTCAGACCAGAGCTTAGACGTGGCTAGTGCTTAACTCCCTTGTGACTGGCAGCTCCAGGGCTGCAAGGACCTGGCTTTATGGGAACAGATGACTCTCACAGAGGAAAGCAGTGACAGACACTAACCATTTGTGAAGGGTTATTTCCCCTGCTTTTGTAAGTGTTTTTCATTGCTGCCCGCCAATGAGATTCGTTCTGGGAAAACTCTGTCTCCGCAGAGTAAGAGAGCAAAGCAGCTAGTCCACAGAGTGTGCTGCCAATGTTAAGGGAGAAAATTGGAAAGATCCCTCTGCTTTGTGGCCGGGCTTTCTGCTCAGTTTCTGCTTTATTAGAAACTTCAGAGCTGGGAATAGGGATGGCGAGGCTAGATTAATGCAGGATTAATTAATCCTTTAATGAATTAATCTATTTAATGATGCGGCGCCAACTGCCACAGCAGCTGGGCAACTCCCATCTAGTTGTAAGTGAACAAACACAAATCTGTGCCAGCAGATCACAGGTGTGTCTCGAAGGCAGCGCATGGGGTTATAGAGCTGTAAATACACGGGGCACGCATCGTGAGAATCAGGCTCGGAGTTGCCTGTTTCTGCCACCTGTAATGGTTGGTGGTTTGAATAGTGTCATCACTGGAGGCCTTTAGTGATTAACATGGAGACACGTCTCCTGATGATGTGACTCGCCCCTGTTTGCATTCCCTTACAGCATATAAGGCAGACAGGAGAAGCATGCAGAATAGGGTGACCAGATGTCCTGGTTTTATAGAGACAGTCCCAATATTTGGGGCTTTGTCTTCTATAGATGCCTATTACCCCCAACCCCCTGTCCCGATTTTTCATCCTTGCTATCTGGTCACCCTAGTGCCGAAATGTATGCTTCATTACAGCAATTCTGGATTTGCCCATCCCATTGAAAAAACCATGCATCCCGGTGTGCCCCACCAATGGTCTTCCATGCTGCAATGCTGCCATCCTGTGGCTAGCTGGTGAGCAGCACGGGTGTGTGCCTTATCTTCCTGTGGGGGCGGCTCCAGGGAGTCCTTTAAACTTATTCAATTATTATCCAGTATTTATCCAATTATTCAGGCAAACCTGGATAATTGCACCCCCCTCGTATTGGCATTTGTTTCAAAGGGGGAAAGTCACAATAATCAACCCAGCACCAAACCGTCAGCGCACTTCCAGCTTGGTTTTTAAATGTAGGGAGCAACAACAACTTTCCTTGTAGACGTTAAAGCGTACATAGAATCCCAACAGTGATTTAGGCCCCGATCCAGCAGAAGACTTAAGCACGTGCTTGGCTTTATGCACGTCAGTGTTCCCACTCCAGCCAATGCAATCTCTAGAGAGACTTTGCAACAGTGGAGAATCACTATAACGGAGCTGCCATGCTTTTTGCCTGCCCAGAGCTCATCCCTAACTCACATTTGCTACACGGCCACCCCTTCTCTGGCATGCCCCCTAAGCCAGGTGGAGGTGGGATCTGCTGGGGCTGGAGCTAACCCCACTAGCCTTATACCAGTGGGTAGTTCTCCTCCACAAAGGGAATATTCCAGTGGCATAAAGCTCAGTGGCACAGAGTGACTGGTGTGGACTAGAGAATCCGGCCCATTGCCTGCACAGCCCCTGTGCAAGGTATTTGCATGATTTTTAACACGGGGTAACAGAAGCGTCATGCACTTTGATGACCTTCCTTACACCTCCTGTCTTCCTTACGCTCCACAGCTTGTCTAAAGCCTCTGAACTGGACCACCACTGGGTAGCCAAGGCCTGGCTGAACGATATTGGACTGTCTCAGTATTCCCAGGCTTTCCAAAATCACCTCGTGGATGGAAGGATGCTGAACTCGCTGATGAAACGGGACTTGGAGAAGTACCTTAATGTGTCTAAAAAGTTCCACCAGGTCAGCATATTGCTGGGAATAGAGCTGCTTTTTCAAGTCAACTTCAGCAAAGAGGTGAGACGAGAAATGGTTAAAACAGGTGGTTTGGTTTGCCAAACGATTAGCCTTTCCTAGAATCAGAGAAGATCCGGGTTGGAAGAGACCTCAGGAGGTCATCTAGTCCAACCCCCTGCTCAAAGCAGGACCAACCCCAACTTTCTATCGCTCCAGGCCAGTGCTATTCCTCTGAGTGTTCTCCATTCCCAGTTCCTGTCTCTAATAAATCAGTTACATTGGGGACAGTGCACCCTCGTCTCCCATTGGCCTTCTTTGATAGAAATAGCCGTACCATGCAGCAACTCCAGGGAATGGAGATTTCAGAGTTTGTCGACTCTGCCGGAGCAGCCCTCACTGCGGGTTACCATACGTCCGGGTTTTCCCAGGCATTGCCTCTTTTTTTGATCCTCCGCCTTCCGTCTGAGCGGATTATGGGATGTTTGGGATTTTTGTAGAGCGGTCGTTGCAGCTCAGAAAAAGCCCCAATTGGTCCACATCCCAAATGGTCCCTCCCTGCATCCGCAGCTGATTGGTCCATTCCACTGCAGCCATACCTGCCGGATCCCGCCCATCCAGGCCCCGGCTCCCAGTCCTGGGGAGGGGGTTCTGCAGGGAGGCGCTGACTGATGGTTGGTGGTGTGTCTTGGGCTTGCACCAGCCTCCTGCCACCGAGAGTGGGAGCGACACTGCCCCCCACCTCAAGAGTGAGGCTGCAGGTATCCACTCCCGCACCCCCAGGAACCCCTCCCAGTACACACACACCCCTCCCGCACCCCCCAAATATTCCCTCCAGCACCCCCAACTGTACACTCCCTCTGACTCCCTCTACCCCCTCCTCCTCCAGATCCCCCACCCTCTGGCAGTGTCCTCTTTTTGGGAACCTGAAATATGGTAACTCTGCCCTCTCCCCACGAGGCACATCCAAAACTGAGCCAGTAACAAAATAACCCCTTAGCTTGGGTGAGGAAGGGGAACGAAAGGGCTGCACTGAACTCTTGTCGGGAGATTTGGGAATTGCTCAGGTAATGTGAACCCATTTTGCTTCCCCAACAGCAAGTGATTCTTCTTCTTAGACAGTCGAACGAACGGATAGGTAGATACAATTGTTGTTTGCAGTGTTGTAGCAGTGTGCATCCCAGGATGTCATGGACAAGGTGGGTGAGGCCATTTCTCTTATTGGACCAACTTCTGTTGGTGAAAGAGGCAGACTTTTGAGCTTACACAAGTCCTGAAGAAGAGGTTTGTGTTAGTGGAAAGCTTGTCTCTTTCATCAACAGATGTTGGTCCAATCAAATGCCTTACCGCACCCACCTTGTCTCTCTAGATAGTTAATTACATAGCAAAGGGAAATCCTAATTCAAGAAGTGATCCCTCCTGTTCGAACCATTTCTTATTGGCCTGGGTCTCAAATAATTTACTGAGCTGCTAGTTCCCTTCCTCCCCTCTGACTGGCCAAGATCCCAGGGGATGGGACTTCCAGATCTTAGGCTCTCCAAAGGCCGAAGAGGGCACAGTTCTGGTCTTTGTGGAAGATGTGAGATGTTAGGAGGGATCCGAATACGGAGAAGGCAGGGCCTATTTTACTGTCAATAATGTCAGCGTCCTTGTGGGTAGGTTCTGCAAGAGCGGCGGGCTCGCTGCGAGACCCAGAACGTCGATCCGCTTGTCTGGACAAATCAGCGGGTGCTCAAGTGGGTGCGGGACATCGACCTGAAGGTAGGACCTGCTTGTAAGGAAGTGGCTTGTGGGTGCCGAGAGGGGTATAATCATCAGGGAGGGGAAGAGTCTGTCTGGGCAGGGCTCAGTCTTCATCATTCAGCTCTCAAGTGGACATCGGAAGCATCCGGTATAGAAATAGCTAAGCACCATGGACAGGGTACCTGGGGCATGGTGGTCATACAGGATAGAGGAGTGGTTCCCAGACTGGGGTTCATGAAATGTTACAGGGGTTTCTCAGGGAAAAAATTCCCTAATGGCAGACAGAGTTGTCCCTAGGGACCCTGGGCAGCACGGGGCCAGCAGCCCAGAGCCCCTAGACTTCCAAGAGCTAAGCAGATCAAAGCAAGCAGATCTATCACACTGAGAGATTTCAAAGTAGCAGTCGTGTTAGTCTGTATCTGCAAAAGGAGTGAAACACACAGACAGAAGATATTTATACAGGTGGAAGTACGCATACCAATTGTAAGAGGCCAGTCAGTTTTTTCTTCTGCTGCTACTGATAGCTCTTCTCAATTGATTGGCCTCTTGCAATTGGTATGCGTACTTCCACCTTTTCATGTTCTCTGTATGTATAAATATCTTCTGTCTGTGTGTTTCACTCTTTTTGCGAATACAGACTAACACGGCTGCTACTTTGAAACCTCTCAGTGTGATATACATCTGAAGAAGTGGGCTGTAGCACATGAAAGCTTATGCTAAAATAAATTTGTTAGTCTCCAAGGTGACACAAGTACTCCTGTTCTTATCACACTGAGGAGATTTAACCTTCAAGACTCCTTATAAGAAATGGAAAGGGCGGTGGATATTGTTTGCTGTTTTTAAAATTAAATAGGCAGCTAGTATTGTTTTTAAAATTATTACGAAGAACAAGTTTAAGCTTTGTTTTAACGTGTGTTGTTTGCCTGGACTGCTCAAGACCTGAATGCTTGTGTAGGAGGAACTCTTTGAGTTGGCTTCTTAAATACCTTCCTGCTGTTTCACATCTGATACTCCTTGATGAAACATAGAAGCCTTGTCTTTTAAACAGGTTTATTCAGAGTGATACAAGCTACGAAAGTGAGATCTTGGAAGAGTGTTGCCGTTTTCATAATGTAATAAAAATACCGTAATGATAAATAATAATTAATAATAAATAGTGTGTAATAAGCATGTCACAAAAACACATTTTATATTTCCAAGATCACTGCTTTTATAATGTATACTCAGGTAAAGGAGAAAATCCCTGGAAATATTCATTTTTAAGAGGGGGTTCACGAGACTCGACATTTTAGTGAAAGGGGTTCACCGGTTGTTAAAGTTTGGGAACCACTGGGATAGAGAAACCCGTCTGCTGCCCAAAGCAGCTGCTGCTGTGAATAGCACCTGCTGACTTCTTAGCATCTCCCAAGGAGGGGAGCAGAGGTGTCCTTTCTTGCCAGGTAACTCCGTGCTCTGGTTGTTGCTTTTAGGAGTATGCGGATAACCTGATGAACAGTGGCGTGCATGGGGCCGTGCTAATGCTGGAGCCCACGTTCAATGCAGAAGCCATGGCCACAGCTCTGGGCATCCCAAGCAGCAAGCACATCCTGAGGCGGCACCTGGCCGAGGAGATGAACGCCATCGTTAACCCAGACAAGTGAGGCCCTTTGCAGCGTTCGCTCACTGGCTCTCGGGGTGTGTGGGGGGGAGATTCCTGCCGCTTCTCCTCTCATGGACTCACTGGGGATGGTGCAGCTCTGCTGGGGAACACAGCCAGGGAGACTGCAGCCCCCCGTCTGCCATGGTTCTGCTCTCTGCAGATGCAGGGAGGTTTGGGGGAAGGGGTAGGACTAAGAGAGGAGATGGGGGTAAGGCTGATGGATCTGGCAAGCCACACACCCACCATTCACTCCCTTTCTCCCTGCATGCAGAGGGAACAGCAACTGTGGGGGCTGCTCCAGCTTTCTGATGCAGAATCGCTGCAGAGCAGCTTGGGAGCGGCGTCCTTGTTAACCCATCAGCATGTAACTCTGGTTGGGCCGGATCCAAGGCCCATCAAATGAAAGTCATTGGGACACCTTCCCTGGACTTCAAAGGGCTTTGGGTAAAGCCCATTGCACGCTGGCCATCTGCAGCCTGATCGTTCTAGCAGCTCAGGAACAAGTCCCACCATCCCAAAATGGAGTCAGTGGCTCCTGGGGACCTCCTGGAAGGAAAGCCGTGGGAGGGGAGTGTTGCATTGTGTTTCTTGCGTTGCCCTGAATTTAAGAAGGAGGAATGCAGTTCCAAACACGGAGAGGCGGCTGCTGACCTGAACTCCTGTCAAAAGGACAGACCTGTTCAAAGAGCAGGTAATTCTCCAGGCAGCAAAAGCCAGACGGCCACTGAACTAGAAATCCTCTAAAGAACGTGAACAGCCAAACAGGCAACACACCTCCTTCACTCCCTACTCAAGCACAAACCAGCCCGTGGGCCTTTCCCAGTAGGACAGAGTCTCAAGACGACGTATATATGTGTATGCAGCCTCCACAGAGAGCCATTCTTGAATACTGCACTAGGGAGGCGGGAGACGTCTGAGGAGGGCATAAGATGAAATTCACCCCTGTGCAAAAGGCCAGCACAAAACTCCAACACTCAAGTCCCATGTACCATCATACATAGACCACCCAAGGCACAGCTAAACTCTAGTGGTTTAAGTGGGATTTGGGTGGTGAATAGGTCCTGTGTGGAAGCGCTGCACAGAGGTGATTTTCACCCATGGGGAGTAAGAGATCATTTTGCCAGCTACATTCACCCCAATCTAAATCAACTGAGCCTTTATTAGAGCTAAAAATAGCCCAAACGCAGCAGGGGAGGAGATAACGAAGAATATTGATCTTTGCATGGACCAAAAGAGGGAGTCATCACCCACCCTTCCCCGGTTCCTCTTCACTGCCAAACTCTGCTGAGCACAGCCTGCCCAATGGACCATCTGGGACAGAAGAGATGACCCCTGTGCTGAGTCCTACCCGAGGATGTCTGAGGAAGCCCTGGAATCCCTCAGGCAGGCTGATGGTTGAACTGGGGAGAGAGGCAACAGATATTCCATATCTCATGGGCAACTGCACCGCACAGCCTTGAAAAGGAGGCCTGGATTCTGGCCCCACCCAGGTGAATTCTGAAAGCACAGTGAATGGATGGGGATTCCCAAGGATGAAGCAGGGACAGGCAACCTAGCGTTGCACAGAGGCATCAGTAGGATATGGGCACCGGTGCCTCACTTATTGCTGCTACTCAACACAACATTTCTCTCAACCCTTCCCATGATGCCATTGGCAAGCCAGCGGATTACCTGCTACCTCTCATGTTTGGGAGCAATGAAGTTAGTTATTGTCTACAGTGTTCAGTACCATTCCAGCTGAAATATCACCCTGGAGATAATTCTAACCACCTGCTTTTCTACCTTTGCACCCCAGGAGCGGGAGGAATTGTCCGTAGCGGAGTGTTGGTGCCAGGGACAGTGTGGACTTGCTAGGAGGAAATTACATGGTGGGGCTTGGTAAATCAAAAAGGAATAGATTATCCTTTCAGCTAGGGTGACCAGATATCCTGATTTTATAGGGACAGTCCCGATTTTTGGGTCTTTTTCTTATATAGGCGCCTATTACCCCCACCCACCCCCTGTCCCGATTTTTCACACTTGCTGTCTGGTCACCCTACTTTCGGCTGCTAAGGATTCATCAGCATTCACAGCCCATTTTCATGGTTTTGGGAATTGTGTGATGGTTTTTGAATTAAGTTTATTGAACATTTTTCATAATATTGAAATCATAATGAAGCTGTCTGTGCTATTTCCAAGCAATCTTGTTAATGTATCTTGGTGATATGTCTGTTTGTCATGTTTCAGTAACGTATTAAAATAGATAGGGAAGGAGTGTGTTCCAATGGTGACAGCAGGAGAAGTGGGAGTCAGGACTCCTGGGGTCTACTCCTGCTCTGCCACTGACTCATTCTGTGACCTTGGGCAAGTCATTTAACTTGACTGTAAAGTGGCCATAATGATACTTACCTACCTCACAGGAGTGTTGTGAGAATTAAGGTTTTAACTTGCTTTGAGATATGCAGTTGACAGCGCAAAATAGCATTATAGTATGTACATATTTATATATATTAAACTGCTAAATAAATCATCAGGACAGTTCATGGCTTTTAAGACACTGGTTTGAGGAGGCCTCTGAGTAGAAGAATCCATCCATTGACCGTAGTGCTCTCAATTCATCCTTCTGCTGTGGGTGGTCCTCATCTGTCATTCAGCTGCTCACGGGCTGGGAACTCTTTAAAGGTTGCCATGTGAGAACGTGGAATGATAAAAAGACACACCACAGGAGCTCCTTTCACTTTCTATGGGGAGAGTCCTCTTCCCAGTGGACATTCCAGTAGCTTCCATTAGAATTCTCCAGTTGGTCTCTGCTGGTTCTTACTGGTCTCTGTTGATTTCTACTGGCTGCTTATGTTTTCTCTTATAGATTCCAAGGCTAGAAGGAATCATTGTGATCATCTAATCCGACCTCCTGTATAACACAGGCCAGAGAATTTCCCTAAAATAATTCCTTGAGCAGATCTTTTAGAAAAACATCCATAGATTCTAGGACTGTTTGTTTGGGGAATTTGTGTTGTTGTTTTTTTTCTTTCTGAAATTAACAATTTGTCCAAGTCGACATGAATTCACAAAACGTTTCAATATTGCCGAAGCTGCATTTTTTAACTGAAAAAAAGTTTTTGTCTGAACAATTTCACTCGGCTCAAGTTCCGTTCAACATCTTCCTTGTGCACAATTTCAGGCTCTTTATAGTTTTTTTTTGTTTAAAATAAGGCCGTTGATGAAGAAAGTGATGATTCCCCAGCTACCCAGATTGTTCTTCTGTTTGTATTGGATGTTTGTCCTTAGTTGGTAGCCCATTAACCTCTTATGTGGACCAGCCACTGGGGCTGGGGGCAAAGAGTGACATGGTGGTGACATGGGTTGGCTCTTCAGTGGTATAACCATAGGTCGCCATATTACCAATATATATAAAACACAAAGCTCTTTTCTGTCTGGGATACCGCCAATCAACCCACCCCTAAGGAGAGGAGATCCTTATATGACTGGTTCTCTCTGATCGGGAGTAGATGGGCCTCATCTAGGTAAAGTGCTACCTTCCATAACCTTGTGCAGCAGGCCAGCACAAGGTCTATGCACAACGTTAGTCTTGTACTGAGGTGCATAGGTCTTATGTGGGCTGTCTGCATAGGAGCAAATTTCACCCAGAAGGAAGATGAATCTCTATCCCGGATTCTAATCTATGGAACTGTTTGCTTTGCTCTGTAGAACCTTGCTATGATATTTGAGCTGCAATAGGCCTACACTGGCTAAGATCTGTATCCAAATAAGGTTTCTTCAGTGTTTTATCATAACTCTCAACTTACTTTCCACCGCTTTCTCTCTCTCCAGCATAAGCCCTTGCTAGCCACCTGTTCCTAATTCTGCAAAGCTACATTCAACTTCTGTTCAACTCTTTCAATTTTCCTGTCGCTATGATACCGCCTCAGTGCTTATCTTACAGCCCCATTGTGTTAAAGTCCTGGATGTCATTTTCCAAAGCTATCTGCTTTCTTGATCGTTTGGCTTTGGCTTTGAGATCTCGCCACCAAGCACAAAAGAACCCTTAGGAAAAGCTACAAAAGTTCCTCGCCCAAATCCAGACTGTGGTGATGGCAGCTAGAGCGTTTTCTTTCTTCTTCAGCCAAGTTACATTTCTGAAAGTCAGAAGTGTATTCAGAGCAAGAAAAAGCCTGAGACAGATCAGAGCCTACTGTGGAAACAAACACCCATGGAAGGCTCAAGAAACTCCCTGGGGGTGACAGATAAGGAGCCCACTGATGGGGTGAAGGGGCAGCTCCTGGTCTCTGAAACGGAACCACCAATCTCTGCCACTCTGGTTCCACTCTTCTGTCCAGCAGAGTGACCTCAGGACTACACAGTAGCAACCAGGACAAATCCCAGCAGGATTTGCTACTTCATGGAAATCCAGTGGGGTCCACAGGGCCTTTCCCATGCTCCCAAATCCTATGCAGTGCTGGTGAAGGAGTCTCCTGTGGGAAAGAGAACCAATGCTGGTGGAAATGGAGCATTTCTAGAACCGTTTTGACAGCTAAATCCGATTGTGACAGATTATGCTATCGACCCCCACCACTGCCTGTGGTGTTCTCTTTACATGCACAATGCGGCTGCGTTACAGTTGCCATGGTAGCCAGAACGTTCGGTTTCCCGACTTTTCTGTGTTTGAAACCTCAGCCAAATGTTGCATGAATCTAGTTATTTTCCTGGTTTTATATGAAACCATAGTCCCTTAATAAGTGACCAGTTTTCCTCAAAGTACAAAAGAACACAATCAGAGTTGCTACCTAGCAGTTTGCAGGTGAACTCTTTGTAAGCTGTAGAAATCCCATCAGTTCTGAGGGATCTTTGCTCAATTTTTGCTATCACCTGGCAAACCTCAGGTGAACTTTCGCTCCATGCACTCAGTTTGAAAGCAGAGGCACATCATTAAAAAATGATCTTTTGCTGCGGAAAGAGGCCAACAGGTTAGATTCACCTAATTAGTTTGCAAGAGATTGTGCAAAGGTTCTAAAAATGTC